CTGCTCCTATGATGCTGCTTGGCCTGCTGTGTTCATCCAGCCCTGCACCTTGTTGTCTCGGATTCTCCAGCATCTGCAGTTCCTACTATCTCTCTCCTATTAAACCAATGGGTTCTTTGACAAAGACATTACTTTGTAAAAAGAAACAAAGTATACCTAAAAAGAAGGAAGACAATTTTAATAGAAACCTGAATTGAAAAACAAAGTGCTGGTAAAATGTGACAGGCCTTGCAGCAACTGGAGAGAAAACACAGCTAGTGTTTCTGGCCGAATGACTTCTTCAGAACCAACAGCAGTAACGTCTAGGATGCCATTTCCCAATACTACTGATTTACAATCCCTGCTGAGTAGTGACCATTGGTTGAGGTCAGGAATGGATTACCTTGGATGCTTCTTATTATATAACCACTAAAGCTCACTGGTAGGCTATAGGGATGAACTCCCAGAGGGAGCTGCATCTAGGAAATTTCACATGAGCAGGACAGTGCACACAGGGAATCATATAATAACTGAATACCATATCTGGAGAGGAAAATATGCTAAATGACTTGATAGGATAGAGAGAAAATATATCTTCTGGGGGAATCCAGAGCAATAGGGCATCACATTAAAATTAGAATTAGACGACGTAAGTGTGATGCTGTCACTCTTCAGACAATGGATAGTGAAAACTTGAGCTCCTCCCCAAATCGTCTTTCAGCATAAGGGTACATTTAAAATTTCAAAACTGAGATTGATAGATAATTGCTGATCAAGATTTGTAAGAATTATAAACCAAGGTGGGCAGTTAAAGTTAAAGATGATCTAGATCAACCAGAATCTAGTTAATGAGGGACCAACGTGAAGAGCTAAATGGCCTCCTGCTTCTGTAGAGACTAGATTCTGTTCGGCGGTGAAAATGTTTACAATCTCTACATCGCTAGTAAAACTATCTGGAGGTATAATATGCACAGTTCCAGTGCTTCCAGGCTTGAGCTTTGTTGATAGAACTGTACAGCTGTATAAAAGAGCTGATGGGTGTAGAAGCTGGTACTTTTGGACATTTATGAGTTTTACCGTCACTTTTTTAAATTTGACTAACATGATCCCTAATTTCTGCCATGTTTCTGGATGTTGTTTCAAAAGATATCTCCTACCTGTCCTGCATGTATCTGTTTTACGTTAAATAAAAGCATGCAGCATGGGGAATTGTACTAAACCTCTTTTTGACCTAATGCCTAACCATCTCGTGTGCAGGTTCCCAGTGTGCTGGTTTGTTCAGTACCACAGTACTTGGTGGCTCTTCTAGTGCCCCTAACCTCCAAGACTACGCCCGCTCGCACCGCAGAAAAAGTGGCTCCAGTTACTTTTCTTTGAAGGATGGTAGGTTGTTGAGAACTATTTTCAATTTGATGGTTCGACAGTACTGGAAGAGATCCGAATGCTGGCATTTTAGCCTACGTTCATTTTGTCAAAATTATCTCAGTAGAAATGTCATATTCTGGGGAGGGCAATTGTTTCCAAAAACATAATGACTTTTCATCCATAGACAGTAACTTTTCCCTGATTGTGAATCAGACCTTTGCAATGTTAGCATGTGAGAACTGTTGCACAGAATATTACTATGATGTTAGCAACATATCCAATTTCACTGTCTGCAATTTTAAGAAAGATTAACCTAGATACAATGATTGGATGTCTCCATTTAAACAGGAGAAACCAGGTCAAGCACTTGTACATTAATAATGTACATTGTGGCTCACAGACGATATTTTTCCAAAGGCAGTATTCAAACTAGTAAATACATCTGTTAATCAATAATTTTAGACCTAACGTGCTGTAGATTCCAGTGATGTCTGAAATTGCGATGGCAGTTTGAGCATTATCTCATTTTTAATGTACTTCTGCTTAGGAAAAGGATCTCTTGATTTATTGTCAACATAGGAATATTTCTTAAATTGCCAGAGATTAATCATCTTCAGAACGTTCTGATAAGTATAGGAGACTGATTAGTTGATGAAGCCTTAAGGCATATGTTACATACGGATCTGTGGACTGCCATTAGCTGCAGTGTCAGATGTGCTGTGAAACAGAGCCAGATGGACAGTGAAAGTCCTTGTGCTCACCTTCTGTTGTTCAGTGGAGTTGGATGGCCTCAGTTGCATTTTGGAGCACAGTAATCAATCATCATTCTCTTACCCTTTTGACTCCAGAATGGTTCACAGGCTCTGCCTTGAAGTTCTATCCAGTTAAATGACCTACCAATCATTTGGGTGAGGAATTCCTGCAACTGCATCCCAGTCAGTGCCTTCAGGAGAGCAAGGTACACTGGAGGGAAATGGAGAAATAAATTTCAAGGTTGTGCAATTTGATGAGTAATCAGCTGTAGATTAAATACTGAATGTGTATCTTAGAGTTTGATAAATGAGGGGATCTTTAACCTATTTATTGAATAATTGGATTCACTGTCAGTAAGATACAGAATCCAATTGATTAGTTTCTCTGTGGTGCCTCTTTCTTGAGTTGCTTACAGAAAGTGACAGCAAGTGGACAAATCACCATAGTAAACATTGGGTGGATGGCCATAAATGCATTCATATTCCACTAATGTGGAAGGACATATTCTATATAGTGTTTAATATTTTTGTAGCTGTTAACATCAAGGTCTGCCTTCACCACTAGTCCAGTGAAGTGTGAGTTGGAGCTGACAGACCAGAATCATACAGCCAGTTCCCATTTCCTGCCTGTGAATAAAAGGGTTCTATGCATGTGTGTTTGCATGGTGTAAGATTGTGTTGCTTGATTTTCTAATGCCTGTTCAACTTTTTTTTTAAATGGAGCAGACCTAAATGAAATATAGTAAAACCTAAATGGGCCTTGAGATCTATAATGGGTAAGGTGTATTTAAAAACGTATTTATTCATTCCCAGAGTATGGATGTCACTTTCAGGATTAATGCCCGTCCTTAATTGTCTCCAAGTTAATTGATATGCCAGTCTTTGTTATATTATACTGCAGGCTTGCACTTATTCCTGGGAAAGGTAAGGTGTTTTGCCAGCTTGACTTTTTGTTAATTGCTATGTGAGAACATTTGACAATCTGTTATGTAAAATTCTCCAAAATCTTTCCATTAATTTCAGTGGGAGAGTATGCTATGGATATGTCTGGAATGCAGGAATGGGGAAGATTACTTCACAAGGCAATCATTGACTTATGTTGCATTCATACACACCTCATATATGCAGTGCCTCACCAGTTCATGTCCAGTATTTATTATTTGCTTACAATCTTGGATAGCTATCGATATTTTAGTTCACAAAAACAATACTCTATTATTTTGACAGTGTACTTTAGTCAAGCGTGTTTGTGTTGGATAAATGAATACAGACAGTTGTAGGATAGACTAAATAAAGTTAAAGATGTTTCTATTGCCAGTGGAAGTGGATTCTACTGGCTCTTATTGTAAGATAAAATTTACCCATAACATTTACATTGTGCAGATGCTACAAGTAATGTATGCATACAAGATGTAACTGTTTGGTTTGTCATGGGTTATACTTCACTTTCTCCTTTATCCTAAATCTTCACACATTTGCAATAATACCTGCATTGTTCAAGGGTACAAAGGAAAATGTTCCTGTACCATAGACTACTTCCAATTTTGACAGCATAATAATAAAGTCTTAACTGTGACAATATAACAATTGAGAATTGAAGCAACCTTAATGTTAGCTAAAGAACCTGTGTGAAGAATTTTATCAGGTCTGTTTTGGAAATGTATGTTTCTGGATGGGGCTCGCACCTTCAAGAAATGCCACCAGGTCTTCTCGTCACTGCCCCCTAGAAAATAGTCTTTAGTGTGTTGACGTCTTGGGCTTGATTGTCTGCATCTTCTTTTGCCCATCCTTGGTGACAATGTGACCGAACAAGCAAGTATGCACAGCGGATGGTGTGTCAAGTCATATGATGGAACTTGATCCTTCAACAAGTGCACGAGGGATAATTATATTACAAAACCATTCTGTAAGAAGTGGTAGCTTGAGTTCCAGAAAGATAGTTGTAATATTGCAGCCTTGCATTCATTCAGAAGGCCCATTGATTTTAAGTCTTGCCTTTGATAAATCATAGGAAATAGGCCATCATTAAGGAAAGCTGCAGAATTCATCCTGATTCTTAAAGGAATGCCGTTTAAGATGGGCGATAGGAAATTGTGAGAGAAGTATTTTGTTCTACACTTCTATGACTTTGGAAAAGGGTACAGGAGCTCAGTAGTCCAACTGTCCCAACTCTCTCTTTATCCATGCTTCCTCTTTTGTGTGTCCATTTTGTCTTTTTGCTATAACTTCATAAAGCTCTGAAGTTGTGATGTTTAACAGAATACTATATTCCTTCTCGGGATTCTTTTCCCTTCTGATCAAAACTTTTGTATGTATTTCTGAGCATTTGCAGAGCTCCGAGCCAGCACTTAATGAGTGAGTTTATAGACCTATTTTACCCAGAAGCCAAAGAACTAATCCAAGTTGGCTTGAGCTCTCGCAATGTACAAACATTCTTCAAAGCAATTCATCATCAAAGGCAATAATAATATTAATGTAGATTGATTGACTGGCCAACCTACACTTAATCCTGACAGGATTTTCTATCCCCAGTGTATGATGAAAAAACCATATACCAATAATGGCTGTAATCCAGTCTCTAGCAGATTCTGGCTGAAATAGAGAATTTACGACTGATTGCCACACAAGCTGCACTCTTCCTGTGCTCAGCTGATTTATGCAGTAAGTGGCAAAACCTCACTAAATCCCTGGTAAGTTTTCTGATTGGATCTGAAGCAACAATAGATACTTAAGGTTGCCTCCATGAGCATTGGTTGGAGAGAGGATAGCCTGCCTCTCCTGACCACCATCCAGCAATCCACACTGGAATCTGAGTGTTGTATCTGTGTACCTGTGTGGTTGTGTTTGTGTTGAGCTGGGTGCCTATGTAGAGATTTGTTGGGCAAAGACTGGATCGAATAAACTGTGATCTCGCCTTTGATGGGATAGACTGTTGGAAAATGTCATATGGATAAAGGGGAACCATGAGACAGTATCTTAGCAAGAGTCCGCAGCAGAGGGTAACTGATTTTAGTCAAACAATAAAAATCTTGGGGCATTTTGTTTATTTTTTTGTTGTGATAGCCAGCATCCAGTCACCAGAAAAAGCAGGGAGTGCATGCCATAGTTCAAATGCCTTGTCTATTTTTTAATTACATCATCCCACTCATTTTGTCTACAATTCAATTCTTGGCAACTTAACATTCGCTAATTTCAGTCACTGGGATGGGGGAAAGGTATGCAGTTATCAATTGTGATGTCTTATCGCAGGAAATGAGAGATGTTAGGACTAAATATTAGTTCTTTTAGAAGATGCCTTGAGGACTCTGAAGTTAATCATTAAGCTTGATTTACATTGGGAGATTTCCTGTGACAGCATGAGGAAAAAAATCAATGATACTTGTGTGCTGCCTCAGTGCCAGGTATAGTTAACCCAAACTATGTTCCTATAAGTCACCTGATCATTTGGGCAACAACTGACTGTAATGGTATTATTACACAGACATCACCAACACCTTAATAATGATGCAGGAATGGTGAGCTAGGCAAGTTCCACTACTCAGCGCCCTATGAAGTGACAGATCTCTGTAGATGTGGCTCAAATGCATGCAATGAAGCTAAAATCATGATACACCAGCAAGATATAGAGCCATACAGCACGGAAACAGATTCTTTGGCCCAACCAGTCCGTGCTGAGCATAATCCCAAACTAAACTAGTCCCACCTGCCTGCTCTTGGCTAATATACCTCCAAACCTTTTCTATTTGTGTACTTATCAAAATGTCTTTTAAACATCGTAATTGTACCCACATCCACCATTTCCACAGGAAGTTCATTCGATACATGAATTACCCTCTGTAAAAAAAAAAAAAAAAAAATTGCCCCTCATGTCTTTTATAAATTTCCCTGCTTGCACCTTAAAAATGTGTCCCCTAGACTTGAAATCCCCCATCCTAGGGAAAAGACAACTACCATCAACCCTATCTATACCACTCATGATTTTATAAACTTCTATAAGGTCGCCTCCTAACCTCCTATGCTCCATTGGAAAAAAAATCCCAGCCTATCCAGCCTTTCTTTATAACTCAAACCTTCATACCTGGCAACATCCTGGTAAATCTCTTCTGAACCCTCTCCAGCTTAATAACGCCTTTCATGTTTAATGGCAAACAAACGTGACAGTCCCAGATAATAAAATGGTGGGCTACAAGGGCTATCTTAATTACCTTTTGTTTCTCCCCAAAAAAGGAAATGCAAACTTTTTGCTGGCACCATTAGCACTGCTGCTGGAGCATACCTAGAGATTTTTCAATTCTTGTGACACAAGTCACATTGTGGCATGTGGTGGCCACCAAAAAATTGAACTGAGGAATGAGTAGAAAAGATACAGTAAATCTAAATATTGTTGATTTGCCAATACTAAACACTAATAAAAGATATTCTATTCTACGAAGGACACCTGACTCTTCAAATATGCCAAGTGGGAGTTAGCCTGTTTAGGGTCCATTTTACTGTGAGTCTCTGAGCTTGTTTGCATTTGAACTCCTCCAGTCTTGAACATAAATACTTTCAGTCATCAAACTAGCATTGCCTAAAAGAAAAGTTACGTTGGAATGGTTGGTTGGGTACATATAGAGAAAGATACATTGCCAACCCTAATACATGCCAAACATTGTTCCTGAAGTCAAGCTCAGGGCAGTGCAATCTGTATTAAGTGAGCCACTCTTCTCCCAGTCTAAAGGAGAAAACGTTGAAGCAAGAGGCCCCAATGAGAAAGGATTGGGGTTGCATTTTTCTTCTAAGGAGTCATCACCCGCTCATGTAATGTGGGGAGTTCTGTGTTAAAACTGCAGTGTTAGTTTTAACTTCAGTCCTTTTTGTTTCCTCAGAAATGTTATCTATGCCAGCCGTTAAAAGATTTTCTGTCTCGTTTGCAAAGCATCCGACTAATGGTATGTTTGCTTCTTTTCAATTTATCCTTTACAACCTTAACTTTTTGACTTTTTTTTGCATGTTTCTTAAAATGCACTTGTGCTTTTAAAATCTTTTGAATGTCCACTTCAGTCTGTCTTTTCTCAATATTTGGTTTATTCCTTTTTATTTTTCATTATTTCAGCATTGCCACACCAAAATCTTTGCCATGATTCCACCTTTAATATGCAAAAAAATCACACATTATGACCTTTTTTTTAAGTTGATGACTTTTCCTTTGATATAACCTCCATCAGTTTAGAACAGCAATCACACTTGTCAATCGTTCCATTTCATCAGCTCTGAAGCACTGACTGGCAACCATTTACAGCTTCTGATTTCACTTCACTGTCCAGTTAATCGTCAAAGAACTTGACTGTCTTTTGCAGGTTTCAAGATGCACGGCCAGGTTTTCTGTCAAATGAGTGGTATAGATCACCAATAAGGTTCAGCTCCTGCTTGGAGAAGCAGTTCTGATAACTTACAATTGATACACAGGATAGATATATTCAATCACAAAATGACAATTCTAAGGGGAGTACCAACCATTTGTGGTTAACTGAACAAGTTAAAAATATGATCAAATTTAAGGAGAAAGCATATAATTGCAAAAAGGTGGGTGGCAAATCAGAAGATTGTACAGAATATTTTTTAAAAATCAAAAGAATTGCTAAAAGATTAATAAAGAAGGAAACCGAGAATGAGAGGAAGCTAACCAGAAATGGGTGCCACATCAGAGGTATTGCAGAAAAAATCTCAAGATGTAAAAGCTAACATACTTACATGGATAGAAGATTGGCTAGCCAATAGACAGCAGAGAGTAAGAATAAATAGGTCATTTTCTGGTTGGCAAAATATAAATGAATGGTGTGTCACAGGGATCAGTGCTGGGTCCTCAACCTTGTACAATTTAAATAAATGACTTGGATGAAGGGACCAATGTTATGGTTGCTAAATTTACTAATGACACAAAATAGGTAAGAAAGTAAGATGTGAAAATGAATAAGTAGGCTACAAACAGACATAGATAAACTAAGTGAATGGGGAATGATCTGGTAAATAGGGTATAATGTGGGAAAAGATGGAATTGGCCATTTTGGCAAGAGAATTTTTAAAAAGCAGATTATCTAAATAGTGAGACGTTTCAGAGCTCCACAGTGCAGCAGAATCTGGGTGTCCTAGCGTATTAATCACAAAAAGTTGTATTTGGGTTCAGCAAGTAATTAGAAAAGCTAGTCAACACCATGGCTCAGTGGTTAGCACTGCTGCCTCACAGCGCCAGGGACCCAGCTTCAATTCCAGCCTTGGGTGACTATCTGTGTAGAGTTTGCACATTCTCCTTCATGGGTTTCCTCCAGGTGCTTCCCACAGTTCAAAAAATGTGTGGGTTAGGTGGATTGGCCATGCTAAATTGCACATAGTCTCCAGGGATGTGCAGATGAATTAGCCATGGGAAATGCAGGGTTACAGGTGGAGGGTGGGGGTTAGGTCTGGTTGGGGTGCTCTTCTGGGGGTCAGTGTGGACTCGATGGGTCGAATGGCCTGCTTCCACACTAAGGATTCTATGATTCTAATAGAATGTATTGCAAGAGAAATTGAATACAAAAATAGGGAGGTTATGCTTCATTTATGTAGACCTTTGGTGAAACCACATCTGAAGTACTGTGTATATCAAGTATTAGTCTCTTCATTTACGAGAGGATATAAATATGTTGAAAACAATTTAAGAAGGTTTTACAAATATCTGTAATGGATGGGCTCTCTTATGAGGCCAAGGCTAAGCTTGTATTATTGGAGTTTAGAAGAATGAGAGTTGATTTGATTGAAATATAAGATCCTGATCATTTTTAACAGTGTAGACAGGGAAATAATGCTTCCTCTTGTGGGAAAATCTAGAACCAGGGATCACAGTTTTAAAATAAGGAGTTATCCATTTTTGCAGAGATTAGGAAAAATTTTCTGACAGAGGTTCATGAATCTTTGAAATACTTTTTGTCAAAAGGTGGTGGAAACCGAATCTTTGAATATTTTTATGTCCTAGCTAGATAGATACTTGGTAAGTACGAGGGTGAAAGGTTATCAGGCATGAGTATGGATGTGGAGTAATCAAATCAGCCATGATCTTATTGAATGGCAGAGCAGGCTCAGGGGCCAAATGGCCAACATCATTGGTGACATCCTCCTAGGAAGGTTGCAGTAGGGCAGTAATCAGTCAAGTCTCACATGTGGACAGGCAGGCTGTCACTGCATGGCCACTTGGAGTACTGATGGGGTTTTGGAGCGCATATCCCAATATAATGGTGCCTTTATGAAAGGGTAGATAACAAAAGAAAAGTAATAGATCTTCAAACACATTTTGCATCAGACAGGAGATTAAACCAACAGTAGAAACAAAAATATGGCAATACATTCAAATGCTGTCAGCAGTCGTCTTGCCATCAAATTAATTGAGAAAAATTAGTCTGAATAATTATTGTATAATTGTGTATTGTTTCCCAGAACTGGTGTTTAGTTCAAAACATAACACCAGCCAAGTCAACAAGAATGCACATTAACTGCTCTTGTCCAATCTTGTAATGTCTTTCCAGTCTGTGGAGTACATGTGTCTTTGCTAATTTTCACATGTATGATGCACTAAGGAAACGTGAAACTTGGAAGAATGAATTGTTTGCTTATCTTTTGTTTAAACAAATTATCTCACTCACACTTGTTGCTGGTATTTGTATCTGGAACTTTGGTTAAAAATCTGTTCCACTCATGAGCCCCAGTTTTCTAGAAAACTGCATAATTTGAGCATAGATTTTTTTCTCCAAGTTATCACGTTCCCTCCCTCCTTAATGTAATACTAGGGTGTGGTTGCAGAGATTGTAACTATTCATTTTCTCACAACTTCTTCACGCTACACTATTTGTTTGTGTTCATTTGAGACATAGAAGTTTGGCAGACATAAGTGAGCATCCCATTTATTTGGGAGCTAAGATTGACGTACAAAAAATAAATTGCTGCACATGGGGAGTGCAACTATCTCAAAATCGAGGCATATACCTGCTTTTCTGGGTGAGAGAGTAATATACACCTGACATATGAAACTTTGTTGAAGATTATAAGGATTAAGACATCATAAATTTTGACATGAAGATGATGTCATCAGATATTAGACACATTATCCCCATCCCATTTGTCTACAATCAGGAGCATATTACTTCATCCAATTCATTGTAGTTCATCTTTGGACTTTAATTAGTCAAAAGAAGTTACTGGATAGAGCAGATGTCTTTCCTCCAGACCCTAAATGAATTTCTGTTTCAATATAGTGTTGAGGCCACCACCCACAGCAATTACCTTGTTTGTTTCAATCAGTTCACTTTCTCCGGAAAAGTCACCACAGTTGAGATTAACAGCTCTAGATTGCTTGATGTCTCACTATTAAAGGGCTTGTGTGTATAATTAATCCCTAAAAAAGAAACTAGCCCATTGGATGAAACCTAATGACATTGGTAGAGTGATTGCTGTATTCATTGGAAGTGTATTACGTTTGGTAGGTAAGTGAAATATTTTCAAGATACAGGGTTGAGATGCACTCAGAACCCATGATTGTGCCATGTCAGCACACCTAATCTTTGTCATGAGGTCATTGCACAGTCCTCCAGACCTCACTGTAGTCCAATTCAGGCCTGACTTGATGTTTGCAGGGTTAAGAATGGCATGATAAATTAGATCCCTCTATGTTCAGATGGAAAGCCGGTCTGTATTTTTGAAGTGTAATTGTGACATCCAATGAAGTGTATTAATGTGAGCCCTGGCTCAGTTTTTAGTCCAATCACCTCTGAATCAGAAGGTTGTGGGTTTGAATTCCACTCCAGGTGCTTGAGCATAAAAACCTGGGCTGACACTCCAGTGTGGTATTGAAGGAGTACTGCACCTTCATCAATCCAGTGTTTCTGATGAAGCGTTACACCAAGGCTCTCCTCTTGGATTCACAAGCCTGCAGGACATTAATCTGAATAAAGTATGTATGATTTCTTTGATGTATTGGTCAATATTTATTCCATAATCAGCCTCATGAAAACCAGGCTGACACTCAAGTGCTAAGGGAGATCCACACTGCTGTGGGTGCCATCTTTCTGATGAGTTGTCTATTCCGATGAATGTTGGAAGACTCTAAAGCACTGGTAAAAGAAAAGAGGATGTTCTGGAATCCAGTCAGTATTCCTCAACTAAACTGTGTTTAGTTGTTTAGATCTTGATTGCAAAACATGATTGCCATGTTTGCCAGTCTAAGGACGTGAATCAAAAGCACTTCACTTTGCACTTTGAGATGTTTTCAATGATGTAATCAGACAGTAAATAAATGCAAATATCTTTTTGCTCTCTGAATTTTATTTAAAGAAATATATGTTTCTTTTTATCTTCATCTGGTTGAGATTCTTACAAATGCTTCTTCCTTTTATGAAATAATTGTGGTAATGTTAGTAATTGTGTCTTTTTTTTTGTTGCTGTTTGTATTTTGTTCTTTTTCCATCGGTACTGTTCCCTAGACTTGCTGGACAATCATCGCGTGGCACAGTTACTGAGGCGATTTTCAGCTGATAACAGTTTCGCACAGAACCTGGCCCTTGACGGTGCCTTGGCCCGGCACCTACATCAGTGTTCGTATCACATTCGCCTCTTCAAGAAGTGGTTGATCTCTGGGCAGGATGATATCGACTGTCTCTACGGTATCACCTGCACCTTAACTGCTGCATGGTTAGCTTTGGATGAATCTTGTTTCAGGCCATTGCAGCTATGACGCAGCTTGCAGATTTGGACCCAAGTGAGCTTTGCTATAAAAGATGGGAGGGTGCGGGAGGGGTTGCGGAGAGCTGAGGGGACATTTATATTCCTCCAATGTCTTTAACTGCCTGCAGATGGTGGCGCTCTTAAAAATGCCAAAACTGTTTGAAATTTGTGTTTTGGATTGTGAATAGAAGAAAAACCTCAC